CATGCATTGGAGCAGTGGGGAGGAGACAAGGGAGTTGGTTCTGGATGCCCGGCAATGGAGGGTTAATAGGCGTAAAGAACAGTTACACAGTTACAGGAGATAATTGAATTCAGCTGGTGGCAATTAGGCTCCTCTCAAGACTATAAAAGGAATGACTTTCCACACGCTCATTGCAGGAGTCAACGTATTTACTAGAGCTGGAGAAACTATCGTGGCTTTCTTGGCAGGCTGGATTGCTGCCAATGTCTGATCTGTGTGTTAATAAATCCTTGAAGTATCTTTGTCTCAGTGTGCTTTGGTGTATGAAGAGCGGGGTCAGAACAGTTTATTATATAACTTATAATTATTTTCCCCCCTTTGCAGCTGAATGGCCGAAGACCATGACGGGTCTCCCGAGTACTTCAGGCACGACAGCCAGCGTGGTAGTAATCCGTGGTTCAAAGATGTATGTGGCTCACGTGGGCGACTCGGGCGTGGTTCTTGGAGTCCAGGATGACCCGAAGGACGACTACGTCCGGGCCGTGGAGGTGACACAGGATCACAAACCTGAGCTTCCAAAGGAGAGGCAGCGGATTGAAGGCCTCGGGGGAAGGTAACAGATCTCACTGGCTTGCTCAAAAGGTTGCTCAAAAGGTGGCTTTTTCGACTTATAAGGTAGTCCTCGACTTACGACCACAATGGAGCCCAATTTTTCTGTCGCTAAGGAAGACGGTTGCCCCGTTTTACGATGTTTTTGGCCGCAGTTGTTAAGCGAATCACCGCAGTGTAAGTTAGTAACATGGTTGTTAAGTGAATCTTGCTCCCCCTCCCCCCCATTGACTTTGCTTGTCAGAAGGTCGCAAAAAAGGCCCTCATAAATTGACAACTGTGGCAAGAAAGGATGTAACATGGGGTAAATTTCACTTAACAAATGTCTTTCTCTTAGCAACAGAAATTCTGGGCTCAGTTGTGGTCGTAAGTCAAGGACTGTCTGTATTGGAGGCTAATTCATTGCTCACTGCCAACAGTTCGATCCAGCTCAAAGGTTGACTCAGCCTTCTGTCCTTCCGAATTCGATAAAATGAGAACCTAGATTGTTAGGGGAAATATGCTGACTCTGTAAACCGCTTAGAGAGGGCATTATGAAGCAGTATATAAGTCTTAAGTGCTATTGTGAAGGAAGGAAGGAAGGAAAAAAAAAGGAATGAAGGAGAGAAAAGGAAGGAAGGAAGGAAGCCTTGATGGCACAGTGGTTTCAATTAAATATTGCAGGCTAATTCTGCCCACAGCCAGGAGTTCGATCCTGACTGGCTCAATGTTGACTCGGCCTTCCATCCTTCCGAGGCCGGTAAAATGAGGACCCAGATTGTTGGGGGAAATATGCTGACTGTAAACTACTTAGAGAGGGCATTATGAAGCAGTATATAAGTCTTAAGTGCTATTGTGAAGGAAGGAAGGAAGGAAAAAAAAAGGAATGAAGGAGAGAAAAGGAAGGAAGGAAGGAAGCCTTGATGGCACAGTGGTTTCAATTAAATATTGCAGGCTAATTCTGCCCACAGCCAGGAGTTCGATCCTGACTGGCTCAATGTTGACTCGGCCTTCCATCCTTCCGAGGCCGGTAAAATGAGGACCCAGATTGTTGGGGGAAATATGCTGACTGTAAACTACTTAGAGAGGGCATTATGAAGCAGTATATAAGTCTTAAGTGCTATTGCGAAGGAAGGAAGGAAGGAAAGAAAAGGAAAACATGGTAATATCAAATATACAATTATGTTTGTTTTAACATTAAGTAATCCATTCAAGACTGAAACGATTATGCTATAACTAAAATCAATATGGAGCTATGGTGGCCCAGTGGTTAGAATTCAGTACTGCAGGGTTAACTCAATGCTCACTGCCAGGAGTTCGATCTTGACTGAGAGGGTTATAAACAGTGGTGGGATTCAGCCGGTTCGCACCGATTCGGGAGAACCGGTTGGTAACTTTCTAAGCAGTTCAGAGAACTGATTGTTGGAAGAAATCTTTTGTTTTTCACCACTTTACAG